GCCGGCGATTGTACGAAGCCCTATATAAATCAATTGGAGAAATGCCTACCGAAAGTCGCCGACGGAGCTGAAGAAGATGACGGTCGTCAACTGTATTTCAGCAAACTGGACTTGACATTGAGGCTGTGAAATTAAAAAAAAAAATGTAGGCAGAAAAGAGAAAATTTACCTTTTTTCCTTTTAATCTTATAAAAATATTATATATTATTTTGCTTTTATTTGGAAGTCAATTTTTTTTAATTGATTATTTGATTCAATTTGATTGTTTTCGTCAATTTTCCGTAAGAATATTGATGTGAATAATTTTTCACATTGCGTTAAAAGTTGATGTCGTGTGTTGCTCTCATTGAGACTTTATTTTTAATTGAAGATATCTTGGGTACAGTGTTAGTTTGATAATTCGCGATAAAAATATTTTTAAAATTTTAACACAAATTTTACCCGAAACCCTTCTATATCTTTATGGTTATATTTCAAAAAATATATTGAACGTAGCGTTGTGATAGAAAAAAATTAGATTGGAAATAAAATATTAAGGGATTAAAATGGTTATTTTTAAAAGTATAGAAACAAAAATGAACATTTTTTTAAAGTATATAGATTAACATATACCAAAGCTAAAAGTATATAGATCAAATGAACATTTTTTAAGGTACAGTTACCAAAATAAATCAAAGATAAAAGTATATGAACCAAAATAAACCAAAACTGTACATGGAACAAAATTGTGTTTTAACTGGTTTTTATTTATTTAACTAATTTCACATCTTTTAAGCATTAAGGTCTAATAATTAATTTCACACCGACACCAACCTTGATTATAGATTTACATTTCTACTTACACATTTATAATATTATATCATCCAAAAAAAATGATTATTTTATGAGATTAACCGAATCACATGTAAGTTAATTTTAAATGTTTATCTATTTTCATCTCTAATTGAGCCTTTATCATTCAAAATCTAAATTTCATCATAGAAACTTTTATTGAATTTTATAGGTAGTCTCTGTCATAAAATTTGACAATAATGAGATTTATGTGATAAA